TTGCTTCCTGATATTCTTCGATCAAATTAGACATCTTAAAAATATTCTCGTTTTTGTGTGAAACATTTTTCACGAATATGAGCTTAGATTAAATTTGTAAAAAAATGTAAGAATAAGACAATGATTCGTGTAAATATAGACGCGAGAAGCAAGTTTTAGGTAGTAATACCGTACTTTTTCCTTATTTATTTGTCTACCTTATTGATAAATGCTGTTGTTAAATGATTAAAATAACTTAAATAAATGCCACTTCAAAGAAATAAGCCGGTGTTTCTGTTAAGTAGGCCTACTAGTAAAAAAATATGTAACCTACTGCACCATCTAACAATAAAAGCATCATAGTTTCCGAATCCAGTCTGAATGTTGATGTGAAAAAAAATTCTATTAATATTGTGGAAAGCCATATGGAGGCCTAGCTTCTGAAATCGTTTACAAAATGGCAAACGTTTTTCTTAGTAATTATTCAAAGAAAATAAAGTATTTAGTCAGTATGCCTTCAAAATGAAAACTTCAAATTTTGTTGTCGCTAACTTATGGTTTCCTCAGGTGGACTAAAACATAATATTCCTATTAAAAATTTTAAATTAATTTTATTTGAACGAATTGTTAGATGTTAGTCTCTACAAATCCCAAAGTCTCTACAAATATTGAAGTGGCAATAAGTTAGTCCTACTGTATAACCATTCTTGGTATTCAAATTCAAATATATTTATTTAGGATGTTACAAGCATGGCCTCGCCAAGTTTACAAAACTTGTCGGCGAGGACCAATAAATTAAAAAAAATGACTAACAAATTTTACAGATTTTTCTTTTTTACTTTTGTTTTGTTTTCTAAGTACAATGAATTAATTATGAAAACTAGTTCTAAGGAGGTTCGTGGCAGGCACTTATTAATAGCAAGAGTGTTTTGGCAGCTAAACTTAATTCTAAAAGCATTAAAAAGAAGTGTAACGAATGTATAGTAGCTTTATTTTGTAAAATTTAAGCACAGTCTGTCTATTAGTTTTTACTATGTTGAATAACACACATATATACAGACACCATGAGATTGTTATATAATAGTGTAGATTATCAAATTAACAAAGGAAATATTTAAAGTTCATCTATTTCCACATTCATCTTACTTACAATACGATAAATGCAACCAAAAACATTATGTTTGTATATTTTTAGTTTTAGACATATTGCGGTATGTTGCAATTTTTCACTAAATAAACAACCTAGATTACAATTTTGTCTATTTTACCATACCTTAAAATCTACTAAAATATGTTATTACGTATTTGAATACTTTCATTCATTGATACAGAGCAGCAATACTCTCATTGATGTTCATAGCCTAGCGCGTGTGAAGACGGACGCAGAGGGGGTGTGATTGCGGCGTTGCCAGTTCGAACGTCGCGGCCTTGTATTAGAGGTGGCTGTGGTATAAACCTATTCCATGACATTCTACACGGATGTACCAAGTTTCGTGGCAATCGGTTCAGCGGTGTCTGAGTTTATCACTGCCAAACAAATATACAAACATCCTCTTTTATACTTATAGATTTTTAGAACAGAGCTATTTTTTCGATTAGTAAGCCTTCATTTGAGTTTATCATTATTAGCAAGTTTGGTTAGGTTATGACAGTTTAATTGTATTTAATTTAAATTTAACCTACAAATTATACGTTTTGACAGTGATAGAGATAACAATTTTCCGCGAATAGTTAGATAAGCTATGCTGATGAGCCGGTACGATTCGGAAGCGTACGACATGGTGCGGTGGTGCCACAGCGCCTCTGATCCACGATCCTCGGAGTTGCACTGGCAGTCTAGACGCTAGTACAGAAGGCTCCTTCTTGTTTTGGATGGCCACCTTTGACTGTGGCTGTACCTAACCATCTGTCAGTATTTAATTGATTTTAACTTAAAACATAGGTTGGTTAGCAATTATTATTATCTAAATATTTACTTTCTTGTTTACCTTTTCTTTTCATGGATGTTATATTTTTTTATTAATGCAATAAATCTTATAAAATGTTCATTATGAAATTCATTTATCACTGTACAACCACAATAACCACATGACCAAGACCCAATTAGAGAAACAGGCCATGGTGCAGGATCCATAACGTTACACTAGTGAATAGATTTGTTGATGGATTCAGGCCTTGATTCAATGCAATGTCCCATATGTTTTAGGTAAATAAGCTGGTTGTTTGTCAGATTTTAACGGCAACATTTTAGTACAGCTATCAACCACTGTCACGTAGTCGATAGATGCTGCCTGCGCTGCAGCATGGCCTGTTTTTCTAGTGGGGCCTTGCTTTGACTCATAAGGTTACACATTGTTTGTCACTATCTATCAACGAACACAACAATATATTGTTTGAAAGCAACTTAACTGTTCATTTATAATTTCTGATAGTAGAGTTTTTTTATAAAACAAGGATCCTTTAGAACTGTCAGTACAAGAGAGAATCAACAATAAGTTTATGCTTGGTTATCTACTTCACAATGTACATGAGGAAGTAAGACTGATTTGATTTGCAAGTGGAAAATACATTTTACCTACGACCGTTTTTTAAAGTAGCCATTTCAGTCCAGTTCTTAGAATTGAAAAGTTTCACTTTACAGCTGTTTACTTTCATATCCGCATAGTTTCATTTCATATCCGCATAGTTTTCTCATATCCACACAGGTAACGGACCAATGAGGTACAAGTATTGAGAGAAAAGAATTAAAATTGTAATGCTTCGAACGTCAACTAATCAGCTGATCAGCTGATCAGTTGACCAATTTAATTGTTGATCCAACTTGTTCATGTTGATACTCGCGTATTCATAATTAAGTTGGTGGAAGTCCAAAAATAAATGAAATATTTGCCGAATTGTACCTGATACAATATTATTTATGGTAAGAATGCTGCTAGCAATGTAATATTTAACGAAGTTTAACAAACACGTAATTACAGGAAATCAGCTGATTATACAACAAGTCGTTGCATCACTTTCAGTGGCAATGACAATACACGAAAACATAACCTCTCTAAAAAGTTATCAGTAGTGATTGTTAGTAATTAAATCCAGATTGATAGTAATTAAAAAACGGTCGTAGGTAAAGTAGTGTACGCAACTCGCGTTAATAGTCTTTACGACACTCGTAGAAGTTTTCCCGTAAAGACTCACTTAACGCAATCGTTGCGTAAACTACTATTTTCCTACAGTTACCTAACAATGTACATGTTCTCTCACTGATTTGAGAAAGCAAAGTGGCCAATTCGCTCATCAGTGAGACAATGTTAACATTGTCTCACTCTAATTACTTTGTCTCACTCCAGATTTGCAACGTGAAGGCACGAAATAGTGAGCGCGTAACCTGCAGGCAACGTCGTATGCGCGCGAAATACGTTGGCAGCACTGGCTGTAAATCAGCTGGTCAGCTGTTGTACTGTTGTATTTCACTTCACATTAAATGTTATATTAAAAGTTCACTTTTGTGTAAAAATAGGTTATGTTTCTTCACAAATTTATTTGTTTTATGGTAACTGTAGGAAAAGTATAATGTGCAACTCGAGTTCAAAGTACAATTGCCTCACTCGAGAAACCATTCCTCACTCGCCTATGGCTCGTGACTAAGGATTTCTCTCGAGTGAGTCAATTGCTCACTTTTCTCACCACTTGCACAAATAACTATTGAAAGTTATTAATCATTTCTGAATAGGCTAATACAAAAGAAAAAACTGACAATTTAATTTATAAAATAAGTTGAAATTGTCCTTTGGAAGCAATGGATTGAGTAGACATTTTTTATTACAAAAAAAATCTTGTCCATCCGTAAAGTTTGGTACTCTTGGAACACACCGGAAACCGGAAGATTCAAACAGAACACGGTGTATCCTCTCACATGGAAAGTTATTTTACACTTTAAACTAACAAAAATCCTTTGAATAAATATTGACTCAAAAATATATACCTGTTAATGATTGGCCATCTACTCTACTTTTACATGCAAATATTGCTTTACAAATACAGCATGACATTTCATAGTGCATAGATGGAGCTTTAAGATACGTTTAATAGAAGTAATGTAGGGTATGTATTATTGAGGTTTCGGTACAGTACCAAAGGTTCTTAGAGGAAGTACCAGTACCAATAAACCAATGTTAAAATATCTGTATCAGTACTTACAGCATCCTTCCTTGAGTGATTTTTGAACATCAAAATGTGGTTCGGATTCCACTATAAAAACTGTAGGTCCCTTAGTTGCCATTAGCTGTATGGGCTATTAATTAACAGCTGTGTCTAAGGAATAAGTCGGCCTTAGGCACTAATAAGACTACAGGATCGCGCCACTCATCCTACACTCATCTCCATTCATACTTGGCTTAAAATACCTACAATTATCAATTAGTTAAGATGGGGACGTACTTAATCTACTTTGTATGGTCGCCATTTCATTGAAAAGTATTAAAGTGCCAAAGTACCAGGAGACCGAGCTTTGCTAGAATTTAAATTAAACATTACATTTATTTAATAAACTTTAATAAATGATACAACTCATTAAAAAACACCGTTATGAATATTTAAGATTGCTATAAAAATTGCCTGTTTCAGCTGTTTTATGAACTGCAACTACAAAAAGGTATTAGCAATAACATGGACAATTTAAAGGGCGATAGGGTGGAAACTGGATTTTTCTCAGCCTTGTAACCAATTCTAATCGATTTATATACTATTTTGTTTATTATAGGGTCTCCCAAATACCCTATAATGAACAAAAAAATTAAAAATCCTCGGAAAACACCATATATGAATTTGAACAGATGGTGTTTTTGGCCTCTGGGGACATCAAAACGAAAAAGTAAATCTGTCCCAGGTCCAGGTCTTACTATGAGACCTACGGTAATATCTTATTCCCTATATAGGAAATTCGCTAAAAATCAATATCAAGTCATTGATTTTATTGTTACGTTACTGTTATAAAGTAAAAGAAGTGTTCATATTATTTTATGTGTCAAGAAGTAAAAGTTTTATTTCATTAATAATATAGTATATACGGTAGGCCTAGTGATTGTTAAACCAAAAGCCACAACAAGACGTTACGATTTAAATAGAGGTCAAAGAGGTCAAAGGAGAGACCAACGGAAGAAAGGAGACGATCTCAGTCTTGGAATGAATACCGGTGAGTGCAGTTTAGATGCTATAATACTCTGTCAATTATCCGCTGTTCCGTTCTGTGTTCATTCTCCCCATATAAATCTCGGTTACTTTAATGGCGACGAGGCCAAAGTGTTTTGTACAGACTTGAAAAGTTTTGTTGAAATTTGTGCGTTTAGCGAAGTTTTTAGGGTTTTCAGCTCGGAAATTCAAGGAATTGATTTAATTAAACCAAGAACTTTATATTTTGGAAGATATTTTTGGAAATATCTGGAAGTTTAGGGTTAAACTGAGAGTTAACCTGAGATAGGCCTTGGCTACGACAGGAAAGTATGCAACACCACGTTGTCGCACAACTTCGAAAATTGTAAGTTTTAGCATAATAGCTATTCTGAACTGCAATTTTGGGGAATATTATCGAAAATGTCGAAGCAAATAATTGGTAAAATCCAAGAATTTAATAAAGAAGTGGAAACTTTTGAGAATTACGTTGAAAGGCTAGGGCATTTTTTCAAAGTCAATGAAGTTAAGGATGAGGCTAAAGTATCCCTATTTATCTCTCTCATGGGTCCTGAGTTGTATGCAACACTGAAAAATTTGCTTTTACCTTCCAAACCTAGTGAGAAAACTTATAATGAAATTGTAAAGGCTTTGTCTGAGTACTTTCTACCTAAGAAGAATACAGCCTATGAGAGGTTCGTTTTTAATAAGAGGGTGCAGAAGGAGGGGGAAAGTGTAAATGAATTTGCAATTCAACTTAAAAAGCTAGCCTCCTCCTGTGATTATGGCGAGTTCTTAAACTCAGCCTTGAGAGATAGGTTTCTTTGTGGATTGAGGTCCAGTGACATTCAAAGTCGCTTGTTGGCCGAGGGGGATTCTCTCACCTTTGATAAGGCTTTGAGTCTAGCTTTAGTACTAGAAAATGCTTGTAGTAATGTGAGAGCGCTACATCCTGAGAGTTTTTCAGGCATTAATTATGTTAAGAATTCTAAACCTAGGCCTAGCAGTAGTGGGGTTAGGTCTAGTTATAGGGCCTCTCAATGGTCAAGACCTAGTGGTTGTTACCGTTGTGGAATGAACCATGATGAAAAACCTTGTCCGTATAAGGAGTATACCTGCAATAGTTGTGGGGTAAAGGGTCATTTAGCAAAGGTGTGTCGTAAAACTCAGCACAAACACAATTCTAAGGGTAAAGTGAATTATTGCGACCATGATGGTAGTCAAATGAATAACCAAGATGAAGTGCATGAATCTTCGGAAGATTTGGAGCTGTTTACCATAGCCTATTCTGACAGTGATAGATCTAGGCCTATATCGAACAGTTATGAAGTTGAGATGTGCATAAATGGTAAATCTGTACGTATGACGATAGATACAGGTGCTGTAGTGTCCGTGATGCCGGAAAATGCATATGTTAATAATTTTCAGGATAACCTACCAGAACTGAGGAAGAGCCAGGTCAGTCTTAAGACTTATACTGGGCAAAAGATTGATGTTTTGGGTGAGTTTCAGGCTGATGTCACAACGGAGGGGAGAAGCCATTCACTGCCGATGGTAGTTATAAAAGGATCTAGTACGCAACCCATACTGATGGGACGGAATTGGTTAGAGAAAATCAGGCTCGACTGGGAAAAGATTGCTCAGAGCCGGGAAAATCAAGAAGTATGTTCAGTCAACGGAATTGAAGGTAGGAACTTTCCAATTACTACAATAGGACTTAAGGACTTGAAGACTAAGTTTGCCGATGTTTTTCAAGCTGGTATTGGGACAGTTAAAGACATTAAAGTTGACTTAACTCTTAAGGAAAATTCTCAACCTATCTTTTGCAAGGCACGCAATGTACCATTTGCTCTTAAAGAAAAACTCGATAAAGAACTAGATAGGCTAGTTGAAAATGAAGTTATATACCCTGTGACTAAAACAAATTGGGCATCTCCCATAGTAATAGTACCTAAGAGTGACAGTACAGTTCGAGTATGTGGGGATTTCAAAACAACAATCAATCCTTGTCTGAGAACTGACCATTATCCGCTACCCTTGCCGGAAGAGATTTTTTCTAATATATCTGGAGCTAAAATGTTTTGTAAAATAGACTTGACAGCAGCGTACAACCAACTATGTGTAAATGAAACAGCACAGGAACTGTTAACTATCAACACTACAAGGGGACTTTTTCGCTACCGGAAACTGCCGTTCGGTATCACAAGCGCAGGTGCGATTTTTCAGTCCGTCATGGATAAAATTTTGCATGGTCTTAAAAATGTGTACTGTTATTTAGATGACATTTTGTTAATTGGTCAAACGTATAGTGGTTTATACAAGTGTGTAGAGGCAGTGTTGTCTAGATTTCAGCAGTATGGAGTGAGGATCAATGCTGAAAAAAGTGAGTTTTTTACAGAAAGCATAACTTTCCTAGGCCACAAGTTGAGCCCAGACAAAATAGAACCTAGTGATGAACTGACCGAGGCTATCAAAAAGGCGCCTCGACCGACCAATTTGACACAGCTGCGCTCGTATTTAGGCCTAATCAATTATTATGGCAGATTTTTACCTAACCTCTCAACTCTGCTTCACCCTTTGTACAATCTACTGAACAAAGATGTAAAGTGGGACTGGACCAACCTATGTGAAAATTCGTTTGTACAAAGTAAGGAAATGTTACTTACTAATCGAGTGTTGATGCCCTTCAACCCCGATCTTGAAATCATAGTTACAGCAGATGCTAGCCCCTATGGAATTGGTGGATTGTTGTCTCATCGATTGGCCGATGGATCAGAGCGCCCTGTTGCATTCACATCGAGAACTTTAACGGTACATGAAGTCAAGTATTCCCAAATTGAAAAAGAAGCGTTGGCTTTAGTCTTCGTGGTAAAAAAATTCCACACATTCTTATATGGCAAACACTTTCTGTTAGCAACTGATCATCGTCCATTGACATTTTTATTAGGACCTAACAAATGTATTCCAACTTTGGCAGCTGCTAGAGTACAGCGATGGGCGCTGATTTTGTCAGCTTATAGTTACGACCTAACTTATCGCAAAGGTTCGGACATGTGTCATGCCGATGCACTTAGTCGACTTCCATGTGAACATGTTAAGCCTGGCCCTGAACACTGCGTAGCGTTCTTTTCAAGTGATGATGAGTTGCCTGTAACTCATAAAGAGATTAGCCTAGCTACAGTTAATGACCCAATTTTGTCAAAAATCCTTGATTTTGCACTTCATGGTTGGCCTAGTCATATGGATGATACACTTAGACCCTATTTCCTTAGAAGGGCAGAAATTTCAGTTGAACGGAATTGTGTTTTGTGGGGGAGGAGAGTAATTATTCCAAGTCCATTCCGCAAAGAAATCTTGAACTTGCTACATCAGGAACATCCTGGGGAATCTAGAATGAAGAGCTTAGCTCGTAGTTATGTTTGGTGGCCCAAGTTAGACCAAAACATAGAAGAAACTGTCAAGGAATGTAAGATCTGTCAATCTACCCGTAACACAACTCCACTAGTCCCTTTACAGCTTTGGGCGTGGCCTAAGCATTGTTGGCAACGTATTCATATAGACTTCGCCTCATTCAAAGGACAAGAGTTTCTTATAGTAGTAGACAGCTACTCAAAATGGTTAGAAGTTTTTCATATGCAGACCACGACTTCAGCTAAAACCATTGAAAAACTTTGATCATGTTTTGCCACGCTAGGCTTACCTAGCACCTTGGTAAGCGATGGAGGTCCACAGCTTACTTCCAGGGAATTTAATGATTTTCTTAAAAGTAATGGGATCCTACATGTAGTCACACCCCCATACCACCCTGCATCAAATGGTTTGGCGGAGAGGGCAGTGCAAACTACTAAAGGTGCATTTTTGAGACAGTTGCTACAGGACGAAAATCAACAATCAAAGCGCACTTTGCAACATCGTATTGATAGCTTCCTATTTGCTTACCGCAATACCCCTCATACGGCAACTGGGTTGACTCCAGCAGAACTTATCTTTAATTTCAAGCCCAGAACTCGGCTTAGTCTTTTGAAGCCACACTTGGCAACGGATTGTGAGGCGAAACAAGTGAAGATTGAAACTGCTGCCAATAAACATAGAGGATCTGAGAGATCATTTCAAGTAGGCCAAAAGGTGTTTGTTAAAAGTGTACGGCAAGAAGAACTAAACTGGCTACCTGGAGTAGTGACCAAAATTATCAGTAATGTGACTTATCTGGTAAAAACGGAAGGTCGTAGTAGGTTTGTCCATGCGGATCACCTGCGGGCAAATTACTGTAACTCAGAAGAGGATATTGTTGTCTTACCTGCTAATGAGTATGAAAAAGCGACACTGAGAAACACCCCAGAAAAATTGATCAGTACCCCTCAAGAGGAGTTAAGAAGAAGTAAGAATAATTCTCCCATCAAGGACACCACTCCAGTGGTAACACAAGAAACACCTCAAAGTTCACCCATCAAGACTCAGGAGTTAGGCCTACCGAATAGTCCAAAAGTTTTACCGGTCCGTCGTTCGCAAAGAGAGCGGCGAGAGCCAAAAAAACTAGATTTATAATTTGAAGATTTGATACCCTCCCAGGAAGATTTTTTATTTTAGTTTGTTATTTAAGTTGGGAGGGAATGTTATAAAGTAAAAGAAGTGTTCATATTATTTTATGTGTCAAGAAGTAAAAGTTTTATTTCATTAATAATATAGTATATACGGTAGGCCTAGTGATTGTTAAACCAAAAGCCACAACAAGACGTTACGATTTAAATAGAGGTCAAAGAGGTCAAAGGAGAGACCAACGGAAGAAAGGAGACGATCTCAGTCTTGGAATGAATACCGGTGAGTGCAGTTTAGATGCTATAATACTCTGTCAATTATCCGCTGTTCCGTTCTGTGTTCATTCTCCCCATATAAATCTCGGTTACTTTAGTTACGCTATGATGTTAAAATTCTTTAGGATTTATTGACTTTAAGTACAGGTAGGGGTTTTAAGTTTAGTAGGCCTACACTATTAAATAATTTAATCTTTTCAAATTAAATCAAAAGTTCTGTTTCTAAAATGAATAATGGATGTGTAATCTATTTCATACAGCAGATCTAAGAACCACATTATTCTCTTTTGCATCCTCTTTCCGTTGCAAAGCATGGGTACAAACAACTTGCAAGTACAACAACTGAACTATAGCAGCTAGTACAAACATATCGAGTATCTATGTTTGCAAGATGAGGGGGCGTAAGTTCATATGATAAGCCTAGATGAACTTACGCCCTTTCTTCTTGCAAACGGCGATATATACCTTAACAATATCATTTTTGTGATTAACATTATTGATTTATAACAAAGGAAATTCTTACAAAAGGTTACCAGTCAACATTCTCAGTCATGTTACACACAAAACTGCACAAGAAATACTTTACAAACACAAGAGATTTTAAGCAACTAAAATTTTTTTGTTACAATATTTACTAACATTTTAAACGATTAGCAGTGTAAAAAGTACAAAACTAACAATAAAATTTTACCTCGTTAAAACTGAGTTTTTGTGTTTTTAGGTTGTTAAACATTTGTTATTTTTCATATGAGCCTTGGTTAAACTCTTGACTATGGATACACCTACACTTTAATATATTAAGTCGATGGTTATACACACCCCACCAAAATGATCTAATCTCTTGAAGGTATTAAAAGATGGCCAATGTTTATTATTATTAACTTTACACATTTCCCCCACTTCTTTGTAAACATTGTCTTTTCTGTTTAATGATGTCTTTTTATGTTTTTTCATGCTTTAGTTTTATAGTTCCTGTGTCTAGGGGTTCTTCTTCTTCTCTTTCTTCTTCATTTGCCGTTGAACCAAATTTCACTGAGATGTCAAGAAGCTCTCTTAGACCCTAAAAAAGTTTTTTATTATCAAAACCTTAACCAACAAACCTCATAGTTCAGAGATTATATTGGATTCCAGCGTTAAAAGTTAATTCATTATCAATAATCCAGCACAAATAATTAAGAGCTTATTAAATTTGTGTCTCTTAGCCAGTGGCATTTCTTTTTACACTTAAGTAAAAGATTGGTCCAAATCCCCGTCTTGTTAGTCTTTAAAATTGACCTTTTTTTGATATGATACTTTAGCATAATTTATTGACAGCTCAATGGCAAGTTACATCTGGGTCTACAATTAATTGATCTCTCGTCAAATTGAACCAACGTCATTTATATTTAAAGACGAGCACTATAACTATTAGGCTACCAAGATAAAATTCAGGGTGTTCAAAAAAGTTGGGGACATAACTTTGTACAACTAAATCTAAACTTCTACTGGACCGATTTTTTAAATTAATGGGTCATTGGAAAGCCTAATTCATGTAGATTTGCAAATAATTATGAAAGTGTGATTTTCACAAAGTTAAACAAAAACATCCCTTATTCAGTATTTTATCATTACTATAAATTCAGAGGTTGCTTAGCTTTTTTGTAAATAACTTTTAAATGTTGAGGAAATCGACCAAAGTGGAAGGTGATATTCTGAAAGAGAATAAAATTTCCTACAAATTGGTACCATGCACTTCTTGGAAATACTCAAAATAAGCAGCCAAAAGTCGCACCCAAATGAAGTGTGAAAAAACCCGTTTTCAATGTATTTCTTATGGAAAACATTTTTTTTATTTTTCACCATAAATCATAACAAAACAAACTTTCATAATTATTTGCAAATCTAAACGAATTAAGCTTTCCAATGACACAATAATTATTACAATCGGTCCAATAGAACTCTAGATTTAGTTGTACAAAGATTTTTAAACCTGAATTATACTGTATATATAATAGATAGTAATATTTACTGGACAAGTTGTAATGATGCGCTAAGTGCGCTTTGTGGGTGTTTGAAGCATGGATTTAAATGGCTTCATTCGGTAACAATTAAAATTAAAATATATATTGTTATACATTTTTGGAAAGCTCATAAAATAGGTTAAAAAGTTTTGTTTCAAACACATTGCCGTACGACCTACTGCAAAACCAGGGATTGGCCTATTCTAAAACTTCACGTTTTGTATAAAATAATATTTATTATGTATCACATATAAAACCCCATCCAATAGAGATAATGCTACATGTAAGGTTATTTTACCAAAGGACATTTAACGGGGAGTTCAAAGAAAAAACAATTATGCTGATAGCTCATTTACATCAAAAGATATAGCCTAGGTGATTTAGTAAAACACTACACTTTCAACCTGGTGTTTGGGGGGAGGGGGGGTTTAAGGGGAAGCAAGGGGGGGGGGGAAATTCGGGAAACTTTCAGAAAACACCCTTCCTATTATATACTATCACCATGCAAAAAATCAGCTTTACATCTTTCATGTCTAGGTTCTTACCTAAAGTGACTGGGCTAAAATGACCCTGCCCTAAAGTTGGTTAAAGGTTATTTCCAAAATGGTTGGCCTAATAACAAAAAGAGTGTACCCGATTGTGTCAAAATATATTACGGTAAACATAATAGCTCGTATGTCTCTAATGATCTTGTGTTTTTAGATGACTTACTAGTTGTTCCGGTTAGCCTAAGGAAATCAATGCTTATTTTGTTACATGAAATCCATCTAGGTTGTCAGAGGACTAAAGCTAGGGCGAGACAGCTCATCTACTGACCAGGTGTGTCAGTTAACATTGATAATTTTGTTTCAAGTTGTTCCGTTGTTCTTTGTGTCAAACGTACATGAATGCAAATGCTTAAGAACCCTTAAGGTCACATGAAATTCCTGTTTTACCATATAATAAAATTGGTATGGATATTGCTGAGTATGGGGGTAAAATCTACCTTATAGTGGTAGACTACTTAATAAATTGTACTTAATGACTACTTAAAGTAAATGCTTGGATTGTTTACCGCTAACATCTAAAACTAGTACAGATGTGATACGGGAACTGAAAAAATTGTTTGCAATTTATGGTATTCCCTCTAAAGGAATTGCTGATAATAATCCGTTTGGGTCTTATCAAGTTAAAACTTTTGCAGCTGAATGGAATTTTGAGATTGTCAATTCAAGCCCCTTATACCATAGATCAAATGGCCAAGTTTAGAGAACGTCCAAACTTTTAAGAAAATTCTCAAGAAATGTTGTGATGAAAACAAGGATATAAATTTAGCCTTGTTGGAGTTCCACAGCACATCTGTAGTAGGTGATTTATCTCCGGCTCAATTACTAATGAGTCGTAAATCAATAGAGTAAATCAAAGTAGAGTCCCAGTTTCTGCTAACTTGTTAAAATCGCAGGTACATGATCCTAGTCTAGTAAGTAGGCTTCTTTCTAAACAGCAGGAATTGTCTGCTACAAATTACAACAGAAGTACTTGTCCTAGACGGTACTTTAAACCACAAGACAAAGTATTTGTGTACAATGTTCACTCAAGGATTTGGGAACCTGGTGTTGTAGTAGGCTATACAGCTAACGCAAGGTCATATGTTGTAAAACTATTTCGAAGTGGAAGAAGGGCCTGATTACCCATTAGGCTAATTAGGCTGGAGCCTAGGGCGCCAGTCAGCCTAGTGTTTTAGGGGGGGCGCCAGACAGCCAAGACTTAAAGTTGGGACTGGGGGCGTGAAAAATGTTTTGTTCCAAAAAAAGGATTCGCGCAGATAGGGAAGGAGGTGGGGAAGGGTGCGTTCGGCCGATTTTCATAATCATTATATCCATATATAAAGCCCAAAGTACCCATGAACTTTTGAGAAAACTACAAGTCACACCTCCATAAACCATATACTTAAAATATTCGTAATGACGAGAAACCTTGAGCAAAACTATCCATTATTTCATAAATTGCCCTTTAAGGTCTTAATTCCTTTCTAAAGGGAACTTTCCATATACCTAATGTTAAAAAATATCTCAGCTGTACTTATTTCTTTATTTCAGCTTAACTTAACCAATCAATAGTTTTATTAATACTTATGAAGTCAAACGGGGTGAAGCCCGTGGGTTACAGCTAAATATAGTAATAATTGATTTGTAAAAACATTTAACGATACTTTTTGTAGCAGATAAATGTTGTAAACTAAGTAATTCCATCTAAAGGTCCTAATACAATTGGTTTAGGCCTAGGTGATTAACAGAGTTAATTTAGAAAGTACGCATATTATTGTTTGGTTTGTTGATATTTTAGGTTAGGTCTACTTTTGATTTAATACAATCATATGTATAAAAAAAAGTAAAATAATACATTATTTTAAATAAAAAAGTTTTACATTCCTTGAACAACCAATTTGTTACTATTTTAAAAGTTCCTAATCAAACCATGCATTAATTATTTATGATAAGTTTTATTTTGTTTTTAAATAAACTGAATATTAGTATAATGCCTTTGACCATTTTAAATCTTAAATTCAGTATTAGTATTCGTTCTTAGAAATTTTGAAAGTGGTAGCGGAGAGGAGGGGTAGTGGGAGGGAGGAGGGGTAGTGGAAGGGAGGAGGGGGCGCGAAAAACGTCAGCCTACTGGCGGCTAGACCCTTAATCAGGCCCTGAGTGGAAGAGTTGTTACGCGTAATACATTTCATCTCAGGTTAAGACCTTCAGATGGTCAAAGTAATTGGTATAGTGACAATCATGACCAATCAAATGTCTGTGTTGAATCACCAATTAGGATTAGGCATTCCACTCCGATGTCCAGTAAAAGTGTGTCACAGCAACACAATGAGTCAATTGTAAATAGTCCAATTAAGCCTATTGAACAAATGCCTTCAATGAATGGAGATATTGAAAATACAACTGATGAACCTACTTCCAGGTATGGTAGACCTCTTAGGAAACCCATTAGGTTTAACGATTACGAAATGTAATCAAATGTTTTGTTTTGTAAATCTAGCCTTCTAAAATTTAAAAAAGTGCTATACTCTTTCACTGATGTTAGGTAGCCTAACTGTTTGTCCCTTAATCTCTAGGGAAAATTTGAGAAATATTCCTAAACCACTTTGAAAACGAATATCTGTTCTCAGATAATAACCGCTACAAAGGAAAAATAGTTTTTTATTACAGATACATAGATGATACCATTGTTCTATTTAATGGCAATAGCAGACAACTTGCATTGTTGAACAACCATCTTTGCAACGTACATAAAAATATGAAATTCACTTTTGAAGAGGAGATTAACAACAGCCTGAATTTTCTGGATATAACTATAACAAAACATGATTCTGCTTTCACGTTCAAAATATACCGAAAACCAACCATCACAGACCAAACCATCCACGCAGACTCTCATCACCCTCATTAACAAAAACTAGCAGCCTACAATAGCTTCGTAAACAGATTGTTATCCGTACCAATGAGTCAATCTGATTACAATGACGAAATAAATATCCTTAAACACATTGCCGTCGCTAATGGTTATCAAAGCATCCTCATTGATAAACTGATTCGTAAATATAAACAAAAAACCTCCAAAACAAAAGATAAGAAGACGTACATCTCAACGGAATACGGTTCATCCCTAAGCAACAAATTTAAAAACATCATGGCCAAAAATAACGTCACTGTGTCCTTCAAAACAGCTAACAAACTTGGAACTTTACTGAAAGATCGACCCCAAACGAGTACTCAGATTTTTGACAAGACTGGCGTCTATAAAATCAGTTGCGACGACTGCCCTAAATATTATATCGGGCAGACAGCTCGTTCTTTCAAGAAGAGATTTAAAGAACATCTTCCAAGGAAAACAACATCCGCTCAAACCTCAACCTTTGCCGAACATTTAGTTTCTGATAATCATAACTACACAAATATTGACAGAAATATGACCGTATTGCATTTATCCAACGACCATTTCAACAAAAATACACTGGAAGAATTTGAAATATACAGAGCTGTAAAATTTGACAAACAAAATATTCTAAATGATAAACTATCTTTCCAATCTAATTATATTTACGACACGGCAATTAAGGTACTTGAGAGAGAGTCGGGAATGAATAGGGACAGCTGACTGATAACAAGAACAAAGGAGTGACGTCACAGCGCCGACCGAACACGTTGACCGGCAGTCTAGACGCTACATTCACCCGGTCGCGACGCATTATCCTAAGTTACCATTAATCCGTATTATCGTTGTAAATGTACCTTTTTTATGTGACTATTGGATTACTAGAAGCAGGTATTTAAACCAATTTATATTCTTACATACTTCTAAATTTGTTTATAAATTTTTGAAATCATGAGTTGGGTAAAACGGTGGTAAAGCTGGGTAAAGCTGGTGGGAAGGCTAACTTAAAAGGTGACTATAGTTTTAGTTTATGGCCCAGGCCAGTCACAGTTCGGCGAAGGGCAGGAGACAGCTTTGATCATACAGACACGAGTAATGGTATACAAGCAAAGCAAGCTTTGTGGCAGTAACTTCACATCCGCTCATGAAACCTTAATTTAAATTTTATTTTAGTGGTAAAATCATTATAAATTCACTAAAACGATACGAACCTTGTTTTCTGTTGTCAACTGGACAATCTTTGCCTCATCTTTATCCCCGTTGTCATCGTCAACCCTAGCAGCCATCTTCATAACAGCAGCCATCTCACTAATTTTGTCAGCTTGTTTTTCAATCACCTAAACAACATACTTGCACATTAATAAGGTAAAATTATCCCAATAGGGGCTATAAGGGCCCGAGAAAAATCCCCAGAGAGCCAAAGAAAAATATTTAAAAACTTATCTCGCTCACCTATCATTTTATATGATTACTAGCTGTACCCGCGGGCTTTGCCCCGTTTTACTTCATAAGTGAGTTCGTTCGCATGGCTCAATCACGTCCTGGTTGAAGTTCGTTCGCTACGCTCACTCACCTTTAGGTTGGAGCTTGTTCGCTGCGCTCACTTGCCTTCAAGTTAGCTCGTTTGCTACGCTAACTCACCTCCAGGTTGAAGTTCGTTCGCTACGCTCACTCACCTTTTGGTTAAAAATTAGCTGTTGTCATAAATTAAAAAAAATAATAGTGCTGCACCCTGTTGGTAATCCTTGTAACGTTAATGCTATTGCACATCATAGAACAGAACCAACTTGTTTAATTGAAACAGCTGTTAAGATTCATTAATTCCATTTAAATATTAGTACTCATAAGGTTAACATGGGAAACTCCAGAGCCACTGGGGCGGAGCCCGAGAGTCCGATAAGAATGAAAACAACTTAGTTTTCCTATTTAATGCCTAAAGAATCAGTGTACCAAATTTCAGCCTCCTAGGTAAATGGGAAGTGGGAGAATTAGTGATGAGTGAGTCAGTCAGTGAGGGCTTTGCCTTTTATATCTATTACTTATTTAATACGCAAGCACGATTTTTGTGACAATTACTCCTCCGAAACTACTGGACCGATTGACATGTTTTTGGTGTCATTGGAAAGAGGGTAACGTGAAGTTGTGCAGGAAACTTTCTTTTTAGGGAAATAATGAGAGATTGAGGCCCTGGAGTCCTTTAAAGTTTCGTATTTCTCCATAAGGATAACATGGGAGATAATTTTTATTTACAGAAACATATGTTTGTTACTTGAAAATAGTCAAAGGCTACTACATAATAATTGCTGTGTATTATGACTCTTAATGTATACCTACTACATTTCAATCAAGGATTGTGTACCTTAAAGTTTACCCATAATGGATCTTACTACTTTATTTTAATGCTGGGAATAGTAAAATTTAGTGGAGAATAAGTTAGGTACCATGATTTAAAAACTTTACTATAATAATTTATGTATTTAAATCACAAATCTTTGACATTATTAATTCATTTGAAACTAAACAGCTGATCGACAAATCAAACAAATCATCTACTTCATGTGAACAATGTTATTACACAAACATAGTTGTTTAACCAATATCTTGATTCTTTTTTACTTGTGGGTGTATTTTGAGTTTGCAGTTATGAACGCGCCAAGCCAAGTAACTTTTTTTCAAATTTTCTTTATAAACTAACAGTATTAATGAATTACTACATGAACTTGACAAGTCAGGAAATTAATTGTCAGTTTACCAAGGGAAAGAAGAGTGGGTCCTTGAAACAGACGAAGGCGCAGACACCCAGTTAAGTGGATTGCCAAGACACAGATTAGACTAATAAAAGGGGGCAGTGGTTTTATTGATGAGGAATATTAATACATCAAAAAGGGTCTTATTAATGGCACAAGGCTTTGTGATCAGAATGGTTAACAACTTAATAGAATGTAAAGTCTTAACTGGAACAAGTGAGTGGGGACATATTTTGATTTCAAGGATAAAAATTTACCCGTCTGAAACAAACTTACATTTTAAAATGGAAAGATGCTAATTTCTGTTACCTTTGGCATTTGCAGCGCTGTTCTTACCCAGACCATTCAGTCATGAGCAACTATATTATATGTCGTTTTAAGTAGGCTACATCTATTAATAGGATAAGCATATTCGTTACGGAAAACTCTGACCAAGGTAATCTTCCTGAAGGTAACTTTAAGGCTAAATTCGTAGTATTCATGGAAATGCTTTTGTGATAAAAATATTTTTTTTAGTGTTTATTTTTAAAAGTGTGTTTTCTTCAAGCAGCATTTTTATGACCCTCAAAATATGCTACATAGGCCTATTGGATTGATATGATAAAATGTTTTGTTAAATGTGTTATAAAATCTTTAAAACATAACTACCCTATAACCTTGCTCGCTGCCTATAACATACTTGAACTTGAACACTTATTAATTTACTAAATATAATACACATACAGCTAGAAAATGGCTGGACAGCTTCCCTTCCAAGGCTTCATTATTATTGAATTTAATTTTCGACTTCGAGTCAATATATGATAAGATGAATTTGTTTTCTAAATTCATATGTTATTTTGCGGCGCATTGAGCCGCACAGGTTCACTAGTATATAGATGATTAGCAATGTGTTCATACCTCTTTGCAATTATCAGCACCATGGGTTGTTAGGACCGAGTAAGTATCGGTACCGACAATAAACTTTGAAATGTGTGTACGGTACCAGTATTTTAATACCAACAGGACAGGATAGGCCTATTTGCAGTGACGTTTTGGCGATGACGACTATGCGATGAGGCATCAGGCAAATTGCGAGTGTGGTAGTCGTTAGTTTGATTATTCGTTGTTTTACTTAGTGTAGGGTACATTGGATAATTAGCGCTGTATCTAAGACAAAACTCGAAACCAAAATTAGAAAAGTGATCACGAGAGTGTCCCGTGAACAACTGTTTCAATCATGGCATGGATAATTTTCTGTTTTATTCCCACTTTTTAACTTTGAACTTTATCACTTTTACCCTGCTTTTTTAACCAAGCCCTGGCCCAGGAAGTTTTATCACATTACTTCCGGCTAGGCCTAGAGATTGTGGCACTACTACTTAGGTAAGATACATTGGTGATTAGCGGGATTCGAACTCAGGACCTCAAGGACTGAGGTTCTACCACTAGACCAGCACGGTCCCTGGATAACCTGCCTGCCTACTGGCCTTGCGTAAACGCAGCTTAGGGTTTTCTTGATTCCAGGGTTTCAAGTGCATAACACTTGTGATAATCTTACTAATATTATAAATGTGAAAGTTTGTGTGTTTGTTTTGAAGTTCAATCACGCATAAACCACTGGACGGATTGGGCTTAAATTTGGCATGATGATAGCTCACATTCCCGATTAACATATAGGAATATTCTTATCTCAAAAATCCTTTTGGGCTCCGCCCCAGTGGCTCTGTAGTTAGTTCCCCATGTTAACCTTATGAGTATTCATATTTAAAGGGAATTAAAGAATTTAGTCAGCTGTTTCAACTAAAAAAAGTTGGTTCTTTGATATACAAAAGCTTTGATAACAAAAAAACTGTGATACGCAATGAGAACTGTCAAAGTAGGATTGTTTAGGCCTACAGTTATGTTTATGTTTTTAACATCATGAATTATTTGTGATATTTTGCGAATTTTTAATAGTTTATTTTCTTTAGTTTAGGTTAAGTAGTAAAACATTATGGCTATGGTAGATGTGTAATACCATAGTATACCGTCAATTTAAAGAAGCAAATTTTATCAAACTTTGTCCTCCCCCATTGCAAACGCAAAGCTTGAGTATACTGCAATAAGCATTTTAAACTTATATGCCAACCCCGTACTAAGGACGGGTACTCTGCTAGTTATGTTATACTTTTAATACTTTCAACTGAAATGACATACAGTAGACCCCCTCTTAACCGACCCTAATGGGACCGGATCTAGGTCGGATAACTCAAAAGGTCGGTTAAAACGGGCAATCCCTAAAATCATAACATAATGAAGGGCTATTCATTTGGAATTATATAATCATTATTTTGAAGTCATACTGGCATTATTTATAAAATAAACTACTTTTATCTCCTTTTTCATATTGATAGAAAAGTCACAAATAAACACAAAACACGGTTAAGTCAAATAGGCCTACTTTCAGTGGAAATATTATGATACTAGGCAAGAGTCAATAAAATTCCTATTTTAATAACTTTAGTACTGTAATGTATTAATTGATGCTTTCCAAATACATCGTGATACAGTACAGAACCTTTTGTCAAAATTAAAGATACAAGCAACCATTTTGTTACAAGACAGGTCATTTATAGCCTCTCACTGGAGGCTCGAGGCACAAAAACTATCTTGACCTTGGAGTTGTTAACCCCCCCCCTTCCCTGCCATCCCTACAAGTTGCGTTATTTGTTTACTCCAGCGATAAGATAATCAGTTCTCAAAGTCTTAACGCACTTTATGATGTTACAAATTTGCCGCACAGATAACAAATTGGATCAGATATGCTTGAGCTACGAACGATCATGACAAACTGACAATAGGCTATGCTAAATTTTTTGTGATCCAATATAAAATAACTTATTCTTAGTCATATCCTGTGGAGATAAGCGTATGGTTCAGTTTCCATAGCCGAGCGAGGGAGCGGAAATGCCGAGATTCCTAGAAAGCGGCGGTTAAACCAAGCTGCTCTCAAAGCAAGGTCGGTTACCACCAAAGCTGTAGATAGTTTAGTCAGACAGTTAAATAAAGCCTTGGAAGAGAACCGTGCTGCTCAGATCTGAGTGTGTCACTTTGTGATCTGAGTAAAGCATTTGACTGTGTCAACCATGATGTTTTACTAAAAAAATTAGAATTTTATGGATTACAGGGTAAGGAGCTGTCAATATTTAGATCTTATTTAAGTAACCGCAGACAGGTTGTTGATGTAAATGGTAGCCTCTCTAAAGTGTTGACTACTATGGCGTCCCTCAAGGATCTGTTTTGGGGCCTATTTTATTTATTATTTTAATCAATGATCTTGATTCTAATTTACCTTGTTGTACAACCATATATACTGACGACACCACTCTGTTAAATAATCATGAATCTGTAAATCATCTTAGTATTATCAGTAGTAATGCATTGGAAATGGCTTGTAACTGGTTCATTGTGAATGGGTTGCTTTTAAATGAAAACAAAACCAAGAACCTGATTGTTACCTTCAAAGATGTACCTTTAGACCTAGTTCAGTATGAGAGAACAGTTAAGCTTTTAGGTATTTACATAGACTCTAAGTTATCCTGGTCTGATCACATCGACAATGTTTGTAA